TAGCTTACACAATATTCCAGATTGCGTTATAAATACTGAGGAGGTACAATTTAAAAACTAGTGCATTATACCCAAATTCTCGCTTCATCTAAAAACAAAATATTCATATTTTCCTGATTCCTAGATGTTCATAATCAGGCGTTTGTGCCCTCGCAAGGCTAACGGTCAATTTTAATCGGCATTACAAGTAACTATTGGCCTTCATAGCAACACTGCAATATTCTAAGTATCTCAATATAAATAAAGTAACAATTTTTTTCTTTAGTACCATAGCAAATACTATAAATTCAGATAAATAAAAATTAAAAAAAAACGATAGTTTATTTCTTTATTTAAAAATTTGCTGTGAGTGCGTACTACTATTTCAACGTCGACGATCTTTCAACAATGGGAGGGACCTCATTGACAAAATGGTGACGCGAGCGACTTGCCGCCGGTGCCGCGTCTGGGTTTTTGAGTTCGGTGGGCGTGAGTGTGAATAGAATGAATTTGCCATTGCAAGGCTTTTAATAATTGGACATACAAAGAGCATGGCGTTCCGTAGTTCACCTACCTTATGATATATTGAAACACTTACAAATACGATTAAAAAATCCAACAACGTCCAAAAACTGGTGAAGTACTTGTGAAACCCCAATGCCAGCCATTTGAGAAACATCTCTATAATAAAGATGATGGAGAAGGCGAGATTGGTCCAATAGAGGACCATTTTCAGTTCGGGTCGTTCATCCAGGTGGATGTCCTCGAAACACAAGGTCACGCTGGAGGCGAAGATCAGCACCAGGATGAACCATTCGAATCCCGCCGTATCCACTACCCCAAGGACCTGTTTGCGCATGTCTGTCCATTTGCGACCTACTTTTGTTGCGGCGCATTTGTTCAGACACACACATCTGAAAGTAAAAAAGTGTCATGGTTTGTCATACCCTAAGTTGAATTGGAGCTTAAGCGCGTTGAAATCAAATATATGGAAGAACAATTTTATAGTGACAAATATACGACTTCTGAAAGCCAGCATATACGAGTTATGATAGGCTCGGTTGTTCAATCGCAACTTCCAAGGTAGGTAACTGCTAGTTAAGTTTTCTATCAGTTGCCGTAAATTCACATCGAGAAAAAAGTGTAAGTAGACCAATTAAAATTTTAATCGAGCCGATTAAAAAAAATAATTGACTATGTGACAGCTAGGTAGTCTAATTAAACTCCAATTTCTAAAACAGCATATTTGAATCTACGAAACTAGTTTAAGCAAACCGAAATGCACTCGTTCAATTAAATTTATTAAACCGTTTACTTAGATTGTATACACCAATTTATTTAAATTCAACTATATTTATAGAATTTATTTAATTAGTTTATGTAAAAGCCTAGTCTTAATGAATAATTTTATTTAGATATGAGAGGATATTTGGATAATATTTGAAATTTAAAAGAACAAATTGCAGTTTACTGGCTGATGTGTATTATAATTGTTCTGACAAATCTTAGAAATCAAAAACTTGATATTGACAATTGACATTTTCGAATTAAAATAAAAACTTTATTCTTCTTCTTCTTTTTGTTTTCATTAATTGTGAACTTATATATGGGATCAAGGTTTACCAGTACTTTGTCTGAGTGTCCAGAGACGGGCTATAATATTCACTAGAATTAATTCTTTGTTTCAAATTCAGAAAGGTGGGAAAGGGATACCTGAAATGAATAAAGCAACTTGATTATGTGTACAGCAATTGTACTTTTATTTCTAATAATACAATAATATTGCACTCACCCGCATTTAACGCATTTACGTATACATATATAAATAAATTCGAAATAACTTTAAATAATCTAGGATATTTTCTAATACTACAAAGTCGGAGCCAATAGTAGGCTCCACATCCTCCACATACAATATAAAAAAATCACATGAAGCCTATGATAAACATATGTTTGGTATAAATGTGACTCCCCTATAGTGCTTCATTGGGAACAAGAAATAGTTCAACCATGGTGTCACTAAGCGCCTTATGCTCGATTATTCCACTTGATCACCATAATTAATCCACTTCATAACTACTACACCAACAACGTTAACATTCGAATATAAAGCTCCTCGCGAAAATCACAAATGAAACTGAGCGCGCACTCCGAACTATTCACGAATAAAAGGCCGAGCCTTGCCTAGTCCGCGATTCAAATAAACCGTTTAAGCATTTTCATTAAAATGTTTAATTGTTTTAAATGTACGATTCTACATAAACTAAATCTTCTAAACTAATTACGCAATTTAATAAAACAGGTACCTGGTAGGCTATTTCCAGTTAAACTGCCTCCAGAAAATTCAGTTTAATTAATCCGAATAATTTACTTAGAACAATTAAAAAAATTATTTCGGGTAATGAAAATTTTCCAGAAAAAATGTTTAATTGACCGCGTTTTCTCAGTGCATTATTCAATTTCTGGTTAACTAGCCCATAACTATGGATGTTATAATGCTGTTTTTATGTTCGAAACATCGTACTCTGTGTGTTTTGTGATGATCGGGGTTTATGTCTGATATCTATCATGACAACTTATAGTCTAAGATCCGGCCGGTTGCATAAGCAGGTATCTGTTTATTTGATAGAACTCATTTTTTATGAATGTTACATAATAGTAGAGTAGATTAAGGCAGGCCTGCCTGGCAAAATTTAGCTGCATTTAATTAAGCATATTACAATTAATATTTGTCTAAAAATCGCAGACACATGTTTTATCAGTGAATCCAATGCTACTTGAAAGAAAATAACGTAGGGAATAAAAAGAAAATTGGTGCCAGCCGTAATGTATGGGTTGCCAGGTGCAAAAAAGTATTTCGCTGTTAATTATTTACACTCAAGCGTTTTTTAATACGTTATATATCTATTTTGTTAGTTTTTTTGTCTAAAAACTACCTAGTTTTGTATTTCGCGGCCTTTGCGACAGTTGCGTCACCAAATATATACGTATATTGAACGCCGCAATGTGGTTAATATAGTTGCTCGGAGGCCATCGTCGTGGTAATAATTTCCCGGTTAATTCCCACTTTTCAACTTGAAAGTTTAATTTTTTCTCAACACTTTAACGTATGGTTGCCTGTAAAAGAATTATCACAACTAGTGGTAGGCATTATTTGAATTAATTTGTCCGCTTGTCTCACTCTGGATGGTTGTGAGCAAACAAGACGAAATGCACGCGCCGCTGCTTGTTGTAAACAAGATGCAGTATAGCAGATGGGACTGAAGCATATACAATGGAGTGAATATGTTTTAAGTTCATGTTGAGTTTTTCTTTTATTTTTGTGATGTCAATACTTGATTTTTTAAAATGAAGACGTGGCTTCGTTCGACGCCATAAAGTGAGTTTAAATACGGTGACCTAATCTTGAATAGTGAAACGGACGAAGTACCTTGATCACTTAAAGCAGGGTTTTGCAACCTTTTTTTTGTTGAGGCTCCCTGGACTATAAATTATGTTTGCATGCCACCCTTTACTTTTTCAATAAATACAAAAAAAAAACGCACATTATATACGTACAAAGACTTTTATTTTAATTCTAATAAAGAAACTTTAAAAGTTTAAATAAACTAATAAATGTTTTTTATCGAAAAACTTGGATAAAATAAGAGTAAGTACTAATGAGACACTTGAGATTGCATGTTCTGTACCAGTTGGTTGATTCTAGGTTCTGTTTTTGCCAGAGCTATCATCAGGTCGCTACCGACATCAAGACGATTTTGCTGTTTAATTTTAATCAAAACTAGAGTAGAAAAGCCAGTCTCATATAAGTTGAAGAAGAGCAAGAGAGGCAAGTGTCCAATTAACAGGCAATCTTTTGATTGAAAATTTCTCCAATGTTAAAAGATGGAAGTCATCTTTCATCGACGAATCAGCCTTCATTTCTAGGTATTCTTCCTGAACTACTTCTGGTAATTGTGACACATCGACAAGAAATAGATTTCTTGTCATGGGCCGTATTGGTGACTGTGAATTGATGTCTCGATAATATCGGCGAAATTCGTCTTCTAGCGCTTGCAAATGAGTTTTTAAGATAGCTTTTAAATTTGCGTCCAGTATGTTATTTTTAATTGCTTCGAACAGCCGAGAAAAATAATAACAACTTTTTCAGGAGACACTTTTTGATTCCAAAGATGAAGCTTTGATATGAACCCCTGAATATAATCATAATTGCTTATTATAGTGATGTTTCTGCCCTGAAGTTTCAAGTTTAGCTCATTCAAGGAGTCAAATATGTCAGCTACATAAGCCAACCTCCATTGAAATGTGTCATCTTTGAACATTATAAAGAAATCGTGTTTTTCTTTGAACTCAAGAAAAAGAATTACCTCTTCTTTCAATTCATAAAGGCGAGCCAACATGTGGCCTTTGGACAGCCAGCGTACTTCTGTATGAAAGAGAATCGAGATCCTCGCAAAGTAAATAACCGACTGTTCAAAGCGCTGCTCTTGATGTAGTTTACAATCCTTATAGCCAAGTCCAAAATCTGGCGTAATTTCTGTGGCAATGTTTTGGAAGCCAAAGCTTGCCGATGTGTACTAAACATTGCTGGATTTTTCTCCTTGAGCTTTCTAGCTAATCTAGCTAATTGCAGGTGCACCATATGTGCAAAGTCCAATGAGTTTCTTCCAATCCCAATCACTTTTTTCAACAAAATATGATATTGAATTAAATATATCTTCAGATGTAGTACCTGCTGACAAAGATTGAGAGTACAAAATCTCTTCTTGAATGATATCTCCGCCGAAGTAACGAACATAAACTATTAACTGTGCACAATATTAAACGATGTCGGTGGATTCATCGCAACTAATGGCAAAAATGGCGACTATTTTACTTTGTTAATTATTGGTGACTTTATGTCTGCTGCAATGTCATGGATTCTACGCTTGACTGTGTTATTCGAAAGACAAATTTTTTGCTCTGCATCTTCTCGTAAAATTATCTGCGTGGCTTTTAGGACACATGGTTTTATCAATTCTTCACCGATAGTATGACGTTTCTTTTGCTTTTGCTATCATAAAAGCTATTTCAAATGAAGCTTTGAGATGCTGCGATACACCTGTGTGATAACTTCCCGATTTATCCAGTCTCATCCGCTTGAGTGATTCTGCTTTAGAAGAAAAAACCCCTTTCGTCTTCAAAACCAGACTAGGATGTTGTTGCTTCAAATGCCTTTCAAGGCGATTGGGCCTCACGCTATCATTACTTAAAACTTTCATACATATCACACACTGAGGCATTTGTAACTACAGAATCTGTTTCTATGAACGTAAATCCAAACTTAACCTAATCTTCGGAAAACTTTCTTTTTTTCGGTGCCATTTTGCACCTATAACAATAAAACAAATAAGTAATAAATAAGCAAAATACCTACATGTAATTACTAATTAAATGCCCATTATTTTATCTTAATAACGTAATGTATTCAACAGTATATTGGCCTCCGGAAGATTTATATTTTCGTCGTTTCAAAATTATTTCGCCACGTTGGTTTAATTGTGATGTGATAAAAAAGTCCCAATGGCCGATCTATGAACGCGTCTCCACTCAATCAACAATTTAGTAAATTAATTAAAAATGGTAACTGAACTTTGTAAATACACAAACTTACCTTTTAACAGTGAGACACAATAATTTGACACACTTAACCAGATTTCTCAACAAAACATGTATATCGAAACGTCAAATTTTTCGCAAGTTTGTTGGAATGAATGTCACAGATGCTTATCCGCGTCTGGTAGGTACACAATTGTTTTCTAAGTGATGAATGTTAAGCGGAGCGCGGCGGGGGTGTGCGCGGATTTTATGTTGTGACTTATCGAAACCTGTATAAACTGCGGTTGACGACGCCGGGTTGTGAAACAGCGGTTGACAGAATAAGTGAATATGATATTTAATTTCTAATTTCATGCGTGTAAACTAAACATTATATCGTAATGTTATTTGTTTATGTTGTTTGTTTATTTTTTTGTTTCTTCTTTCTAAAATGCAAACGCTTTCAGCCCCCCTTGACATCTCTCTATGCCCCCCTTGGAAGGCGCGCCCCCTGGTTGGGAACTTCTGACTTACAGTGTTACAAAAGTTGTGAATCAAAAATAAAAGCTAGCTTATTATCAAATGCAGATTGTAAGTAAAACTCTATGTTCAATATCAATTTTTTTCTCCATGTAAAATAACGTTTATATGCTTTTTTAATTTTTTTCTCTTTTTCTTGATGTTACTTATTGGCTGTGTAATATAATTTATTATTGGATAATTTAGGTCCGTGTCGTCAATCGTTCCTACAGTTATAGGACGCCTTTATGGACTGCTTGATTTTTATTTCATTGTATTTGAATTGTAGGAAATTTTAATCTGTATAACAGATGATATTCGTCAAAAGCATGAACAATTTGATGCAACAGATATTTGTAACATAACCTCAAAATAGAGCGCTGACACGGAACAGTAGAAAACTAAGAAAATAAAGGAGGCCATAAAGGCGTCCTACAATTATTGTAGGAACGACTGACGATACGACCCTACAGGAACAACTTGATCAGCTGCTGATGAGCAGTCTATCGTTGACAATGAAAATTAGAAAACTATGGATGTTGATGAAACCATTTTGTCCAGTGATGTTATGATGTCGTCAATAAATACGGTAATGTGAAGAATGTTAGATATCATTTACTTCAAAAAAATATTCAGCATCAAGGAGCACCGAAAATTCTTTAAAAAATGTTACAACCTTTGACTCGAAATTAGTTACACCTTATTGTCATTGAGACAGAAAATACTCAGAACTATTTTTGTCTACTCAATGTGGACTAAAGCAATAGATCCATGTGTTGTGTACCTACATTCTGAGGATTGTGGTTGGCCTTTGATTGAAGGTACATTAAAATCAACATAGTTCATTGGTGACCAGACGCCGATGACAGTCGATGACATTTTATCGGAGTCGAAAAACAATAACTTTGGAGGTAAATAATTCATAGATGAAGCTGATGCTTATAACGAAAACTCCACCCTGTTAGATGGAATGAATATACCTTCAGATGACGAAGAAGAAGATAATGATGAATGAGAAGCAGCTGAAGAAGGCCAACAAGAAGGGGATGAAAATAGAGAATTTATTTCAATATGATGTAACAACAATTGTGTATGTTTTGTTGATTTTCTTAATAATTCCCTAAACAAAAAAAAAAACAAAAAACAATCCGTTGTAATTTTCTAGTGTAATTATTAAAATCATGATGTAATACTTCAATTAATCGATATTTGTAAATTTTAATTTTATCTAAATCATTTAGTAGTTTTCAAAACATTAATTCAAAAAACCTTTTGATAAGAAAAGCTTTAATATTTTTTACAAATGGATGAGTTAATTTGTTCAATCTATACATGATTCTACATATATTACATTATATCTACCTTCCAGAATGAAAATAATGACAGCCTTCACCTGCAGCGATTATTTTACATCCAACCGTATGTTATAGTGTCGAGAAAAAAATAAATTTTCAATTGACATATAACTAAAAAAACACGTGTGCAATAATTAACAGCAAAATAGCTGTTTACACCTGGCAACCCATACGTTGCTGCTATCTACGTCATTTTCTTTCAAGTAAAGTTGGATTCTCTCGTTAAACGTGTAGGATTTTTAAACAAAAATTAATCATATATTCAATCACAGGTAATTGTGACTGAATTTTGTCAGTCAACCCTGCTTTAATCTATTCTACTAATATATTATATTATTCATAAAAATGAAGCTTAATTGAAAGCACATACCTACAGATTCAAGTGGCTGGATTTCATACTATTATCTCAATAGGACTGTTCAGTCTCACGCAAAGCGGTCCAGCGGTGCAGTGCATTATGCTGCATAGCAATCAACTTATCATCAAATCTGACATCTAGGTGAAAACTGATTTACAAACTGACACTGCTGTCTGATGGCTAGCATAAAAGCGTTGCACCGCTGGACCACTTTTCGTTGGCTGAACGCTCCCAACGTTAGGCAAAATAGGTTAGATATTGTGGCTTAACTACAATTTTCTAGTTAACCCATACAAGGTTTTGCCGTTGAAGTTTTAGGACGAACCCGGCGAATTTGACATTTGAAACCGTTTCTTGAGATCTAACCTCTGGTTGACAGTAAAATTACAGTTAATTTTTAATTGATAATCCGTATCTCAAAGTCCGTTAACAAAGAAGAACGTAGACATAAGCTGGCCTATCCCCAGTTAGTCGCAAATGCGTTTAGTATCATTTAGTTTCCGTTTTCCTTAACTCAATTTTGACACCACAACCAAAAAGTACCTGTTGAGAACGGTAAAGTGTATTGTTGCCAGCATTGAGATAGCTAGAACTTTTTGGAGCATCAAAAAAGTTTTAAAGTTCTGAACATATAATCAGTTAGTGGATACCACCATCAATATAAGGACAAGTTTGGAGTTCAACCGGTCGTTCCAGCGGGAATTAGAACACGTAAAATTGGCTGGTTCCTCTGGTCTATTCACATTTGTCAAGGAACTTTATAATTCGGATCCAATCTAGAGCATTTGTTCAGCACAAGAGAATGATTAGATTGATATTTAATATCCATAGAAGAGAATCCTTCAGACAGATCTTTAGAAGTAAGAACATCATGGTCCTACCAAGCAGTCATGTAATATAAACTTCCAGCTCATTTGAAGAATGCCAGTAGTATTGGTAGTTTTAAATGTCAACTATGACAATTTTTAGTTGAAAAATGCCTACACTCCTTGTCTGAATACCTCGAAATATGATAAATTTATTTTTTTTTTCAGAATTTCTATTAATCCATCCATCGTCCATGCATTCTTTAAATCCATCCATCCAACATGAGACTTGGCATTATGGGACTATTTTCAAAACTGATGATCATAAACTTCCTTTCTAGGAACATTTCCTCTTCACACTTCAATCATAAAAGGAATGAAGAGCAATGGCTTACTTGTGTTCGGTGATCAGTGCATACGTCACTAGCTGTCGCGAGTGGTAAGAAAGTAAGAAGATACGGATCTGGAATTGCAAATAGGGACATGAAATATAATAAAAATTGTCCAGAAGCCTTTTCGAGCATTATTTTCAAAATTTCTCTTCCACAAAATACAGTTACAGGTATACCCACCCTGCCAAACAAAAAATCTATTATTCGACTCATGATTGCATGTTGATGGTAGTGGGGCACCACTATCGGATAAAGGCAAATAGCTCAGTCACTAAGTATATTCATCTGGAAGCAATGTTGTTGAAGGATTAGAGATGCAATTGTAGTTACATAGACGAAGACCTGATTGAGATCGATTCTAAACGGAGGTTTCCATTTCAGAAGCAGGACATATTGGTTCTTATACACCCGGAACGAAAACTTGTAGCTATTATCTAGCTGATAATAGTCATCGTCAAAACAGTAGGAGATATACTTACCTTTCGTAAAAATTCAACGGAAAACAAGGAGGCGCATCCCTATTTTTCTTTTTCTTTCCGAAACCAGGAAAATCGCCCATACCATCAATGAACTGTCCCTTCGAGTTCCTCCTACCGCCTACAGTCAGCTCATCTACATACGAAACCAAGGTCGCCCAAGGTTTCTCGTTAACGCTACTTTTATTTTTATTTTCTGATTTAGTATCACAGTCAGTTGTGGTTTTCTCACTTTTGTTGTCTGCAGGATCCTGTTTCTGCATGCCTTCAGTTGCATCGTCTGAAATGAACGTAGAGTGATCGAAGATTATTTTTTTATATACTTTTTTCTAAGGTATTATGAAGTAAAAACTGATCTTAATGCATTTTATCTATCTTAAGGACCGTTTTATAATTTATCAGAACATGCACTGTATGTATGTATATGAATATGTTGTTAATCTATCCAACGAACGTACGGAGTAATAAATCATCTGACCGGCACGTGCCTCGTTCCTATAGGTCCGTTTTCGGTAGATAAGCCGCCAAGTTCACAATAGCATTTCCGAAGAAGAATTTCCGAAGGTCTGTGGTGTACGGTTGACTTTTTTAGTGTGCTTCATTCATTTTTGTGCGACAACTTTTAAAAGGATATTTCGACATGAGTTGCGTTATTAAACGACGGCCAATTACCAAGAAAACGGGCAAAAATATCTTGGTCGGTTTCTGAAAAAGAAACTATTATAAATATTTATATAGCTTCTCGGGAGCGCTATCCAACTGAAACTCAAACAGAACGTGTAGTCTTTGTTTCAAGAGCATCAGGTGAGGAGTGTGCTTTGAACTATAGTTTAAAATGTTTTGTAGTTTGATGAATTATTCTAAATAATAGTTATTTTCTGTTAAATATCTTACCCACTAATATGATACCTACTTCTATTGCAGACATTTTGATTTTTAAAACTTTTTTCAATTATTTTTATTATTTATTAAGCATGTATGTATAATATATGCAAAATGTATTAGTTTGTTTTCGGGAGCATCAATTAGCAGTGTATATAAAACTTTGGCCGGGCACAACAGAAGCAACAGTCTTTTTCTTCCCAAAGGTTACCATAGAGCAAGTAGTTTTGGACAACGTTTCACAAGAAACTAAGGCATTAATCCGAAGAAAAGTCCACGAATTTTTCTTTCGAAATGAACCACCCACATTGGACAAAATTTGTTGTCAATAAACGACGACGACTTGCCAGACTTCAGAGGATCGACTTTGGCTACATTAATGAAGGAACTTAATTTTCGGTAAGTGTTGTACAAAAAACTTATTTTGTTTTTTATTTCTTCTTGAAAGTAAAATACAAAACTAAACAATTCAGTAAAATTTTCACACACAAAAATATTTTAGAGTTTTTCATGTTTTTTATCATTCTTTATCTATACTTTAAGACTACACTAAATTTGCAATTTTGTTAAGAATAAATCACCTAAAATTCGTTATTCATATAATATGGTTCATTGAATTAACAAATTTAAAGATTTAATGTAATTTTTAGTTTTGTAGGAAGGAAGCGAAGTAGCATCTTGAAAGAAAAGGACGAGATAATATGTTGGAGACGTAGATTCTTATGCGAAATCTGGAAGTGTAGTCAAGAAGGCAGGATTCTACCACGCCAATATGAATGCCAATTTTTTATTTGTAGGATGGTTTGAAAATATTATAAGCTGTCATTGTTATGGGCAATGCTTCATACCACAGTAGGCGTATTGATAAAGCACCAAACAGTGGAAACAGAAAAGGGGAAATACAGGAATGGCTACGAAGGCATAATGATCCCTCTGACAACGATATGGTCGAAGCAGAACTTTTAAATCTGGTCAAGGGCAATAAAAGTGCTGACAAGTATGTCATCGACGAAATGGCTGAATCTACCAATCGGACTATTTTACGCCTGCCTCCTTACCATTGCGAGTTTAACCCAATCGAGTTAATTTGGGTGCGAATTAAAAATGAAGTTCTCAGAAAAAACACAACTTTCAAGATCGCAGATGTAAAGCAGCTTTTTTGACACCGCGTTACAACATGTAACTCCGGAGAATTGGAAAAAAGCAATCGAACATGTTGAAAAGGAAGAAGAAAAACATGTGGACAACTGACCAATGTATGAAAAGAGTGGTTGAACCAGTGATTATTAACTTAGGAAACGATTCAGAATATTCAGATTATACTGATAGTGATAGCGATTATTTAGTAAATGTAATTTGCATATTTACTGGATAATGACGAAGGACCTATATCCGTAAACATAATTATATAATTACCATGTTTATTTCGACGGCTCTATCCGGATAGACTTTAAAGTAGGTTATCCCAATTCTGTATTAATCCTGACCGCTAATTTCGAAGGAGCCCTCTGTCCAAGATACGTTATCAGTTTTGGTTTGAATTGTGGATTGCCGAAATAAATGGTGAGGATTACACATGATTGGGATAATCAATGAGCCCTTATCTTTATTTTCTCCCATGTATTAAAATTATTTTTGTAATATAAAAAATATGTAAAGTTAACGAATCATTAACTGGATCAGCATATTTAATATATCAATGTAATTAACCTTATAGCACGTTGAAGGTAATGAAAATATAGAAGAAACAGTGAAAATAAATTAAATGGTACCTCAATTAATTTTAAAAACCTACACGCCACTAGCATCAGTTTTACAGGTAGTTGTGCGGTGTAATTCGGGCTGCCCTCTCACTTGTTTTATTACTTCGAACGTTTGTTGGATAAATTATAGTTATCATGATTTGATGGAAAGTGGGCCGCACTTGATTTGTCTAAAACTGCAGGATGATATATTTCTCGCCCACCTGATCAAAAGCTTCCATGAGACCAAAACAATGCTGTATAGTAGTTTCTGAGAAATGGGGGGATGAGGTTTGACAGACTTGCAAAAACGGTGAATGTGCACATAAAATATATTGTTAAATTATTATATATCATACTCCAATTATTATTTATGGGAGCCAGCGTCGGTCTAGCGTTAGATGAAGTTGAAGGTAATCCACGCAAGTAATTTACTCACGTTCTAGAAACCTTATGAAGTATCGACTATGTTTATTTTGTTTATGAAAATAATGAGGATTTATCTATCTTATCAATGGGGATTATTGCAGATGTAAATCTCGCGCCCAAACCCTAAACACATGTGGTTTTTTGATATGCTCTCCATGAGATTCTAGTTCGTTATCATTCAAAAAAGTTTACCCAGACCCAAATTATTATAAAATAAATGGCCATAACCTGCAGTTTGCAATAACTTTTGCGTGATGTTGTGAAGCGGACTTTTGAACAAGCGCGGATCCAGGGGTGGGGATCATGGGGTCTATGACCTCCCTGAGCGAATCTAGTTTGACCACTAATATTTAACTTTGATAAATTTAATGAAATACAGACTTTTTGCAAATATGTAATGGATACAAATCGTTACCCTAGACCCCTAGAGCTACACTGTTGTAAGTCTCATTTTCTCGAAATATGACTTGTCACTATTACATAGATGTATGTCGATATGCCTAAGTTTTCATAGCGTTTCAAATTCCTAAGTCCAATATCATGATGTAGGCAACTAAGATTACATAGTTGTATGACGGATGAATCATCATATTTCAGTTACCCAGTGGTGTGTCATTACAATGAAATTTTCAATCTCTGGTCACTCATGTAATCAGGAGGTAGATGAGGTATAGAGCTGCACAGAAAGGGTGTTGAATAACCTGAATGTTACTCCTTGGTTTCTCCTCTACGTTTGTTCTTGAATGTAAATTCTAAAAAGCCTTACAAAATTATTCAACTTAAAGAAAATGATTTTACGGACTACAAAATATGTGCAGCTAAGTACAATTACCAATTAGTGCCTTTCAGTAAAATCGCTACGCTTACGTTCTTCCAATCGCTACTAGAGACAGAATACAAAGAAAGCCACTTTTACTATGAATGGTAGAAAGTATGTATTTGTGAATATCGAGGTCGACGATCCGATTCTATATATATATATATATATATATATATATATATATCCTCCAATGCACATATCTGTATCAAAAACAATTCCTCAGAATAAAGTATTAGTCATAAGAAGCATGTTTAAATACATGCCCGCAGTAGACCAAACCTAATATAATGCAATTTTGACAAAATAATTTTCAATGATATGATTATCCATTAAATATTTGTTTTCTATTAGTTTTCTGCATATTGATTTAACAAAACCTGTTTTATTTTTATTTGTTTACAAATTTACGTGAACTACAGTTACCAACTTAGAAGGAATACAAAGTTGTAAGTTACTTTAGGTGTAGTAAAGTTTTTCCACTACTGTGATATAGTTGTATGTTTTTTTGCATATGCAAAATCTATATGAAAAAAAAAACAAATTTGATGTGGCTTTTGGTCAATTATCAAATACTTTGCCGGTACAGAATATTATCCCAAATCCACAATAAGGTGCTTTACTATACGTTCTGCTTGACGCAAATATAGGGTAAATGCGGGAGAGTTGCTCCTTTTGTCGTATTTCAATATTAATGCCATAAAGTAGGCAACCGAGTATACCCATGATGAAAGTGGATCGTTTAGTGAACAGTTATAACATCGGACGTGTTTGATTTCAAAAATATCGCGTGCTATCCTCGAATTTACGAACGTAAGATTAAATTTTCTTTGCAAAATTTTAAGTGCTATTCTAAAAAGTGTGGTTACTTGCACCGTGGTAGTTTTATTTGATATTCGTGAGGTTTATTCTGTATTTTGGCGTTATGTTTACATATGTTATGTTATATTTTGGCGCGTTTGAAATGCGTGATCTTGATAAGCGGACGCGTCATCTCTCCCAACAAAAAGGACAGTTGCCGCATTTTCAGGAAGGAGAGATGCCGAATGCAATTTTTTCGAAGTTATTGTTTTGCCATGGCTTTTATTAAATTAAGGTTACATTTTTTATTAGCAAAATGTAACAAAAATATCAGATGAAGGTAAGTGCACGCCCTAGGGCTTTGTGGACCAAAGAACAGTTGCAGAAAGCCATTAATAAAGTTAGTTCCGGTGAGATATCCAAAAGAGAAGCTCATAGGCGTTATGATGTCCGACCAAAGACCCTTAAATGTAGCATGGCCAGCGGTAACCTTCAGAAAGGGAGTCTCGCACCAGAAGGTAAGTAATTTTTTTAATTTCACTTCAGTATTATTTGCTCGTGATAAAAATACAGTTCGCCGGCTGGCTTACAACTTTGCTGAGAAGCTAAAATTAAAACACTTCCTCAGAAAGGGATGCTTACCGTCCCAGCTTAGGATTACTCTCCGTCAGGCTTCTAGTTCTGTTCAAACATGTGGTAGGGGAGATGACGGCGACGGTCTACAAATCACTCTTTCAAAATTTTTGCAAGAAGTTTCTCCTATCCCAAAAGTATCTGTATCCTTTAAACAAAGGTTCAAGCAAAGGGCAATTGTCTTAACATCACCCGAAAACAAGAAAGAGGGTTCGCCTTGACAAACATAAAACAACCAATGTGACAGAAAAGAAAAAGAAACTAAAAATACGAAAAAAAGAACAAAAACGACTAATGGAGCGACAGCGAGGATGAACCTCTGGCCAAAAAGAAAAATGGAAATCGGGAATGCTGCGTGGAATGCTTTGAAGTTTACGAAACGACAACTAAAAAAGTGGATGAGCTGCAGTGCCTTAAATGCATAAAGTGGCTACATGTCACTTGCACCATGTATGGTGAAGTGTGTAACATCTTTTCTAGACTCGACTTAAGATAAAAAAAATTAAAATTATAAGTTTTTCAGAGATGCCGATACTGCAGCGTCTCTCCTTTTTCGATGCCGCATCTCTCCCAGTAGTGTTTTTATGATTCTTCAGAATTTAAGTTTATTCTTGTATCTCAATAAAGTTTAAAGCAGTACCTGTGTATTGATTCATTTTCAAAGAAAGATATTCCAAATTAAGAATATTACAGCTATTTTTCAAAAAGTGCGGCAACTCTCCGGCATTTACCCTAAATAAAATAGTAATTCTGCGTCTTTGGGCTTGTTAGCGCTGCATGTCTGTTGGCGGAAATTGACCCCCATGTGTTCTGTGATGCAGCTAGTCAAATGAAAATTCAGACATTCGGACAGGAATATGAGAACCTTTTCGCGCGCGCCTTTAACATTGTGAGCAAATTCAATAAAAATACTTTTTGACTGACAAAATCGGAGATTACTTCATATTTATAACTCTTTTTGCTTGTAACTTAGCATTATGGTATTGTCTTAGTTCGGTCATGTACAGTGTATTTCTCAAACATGGGGCAAGACACTTGGGACAACTGTTGATTCCGCTGAAATAGGTTCCTGAAGAAGACGTCGTTGGAAATAGATTTTTCTTAAATAATTCTCACATATCGTCGCCTAAGTTTTAACATCGTGTAACTCGAAAAATGGCTCGCTCAAGATATGTGTGTCATTCGATAGGGAATCCAAAGATCTGTCAGATCCGCTAGAGACGGACTTGCCACGAACGTAATACCTATAAGTATTGCTCATTTTTACATCTTCATGTAATAATGGATTGAAAATAAGATTTTTGAAAATTGGAATGTATGCTTCGATAAATATGAATGAGCTGCGAGTGCAGAATATTCTGCGGTTGAACCCACTCTTACTGAAAATTGCTATGCCGAAATGTATCCCATCATCAAAAGTTTAGTGTCCTTGATACATTACCAGTTAGTGTAGCGATAACAGAGATGTCCTTGTCTACGCTCAGGAGGCTCATGACGTGGGTTCGAGCGACTATGGCAGAAGTTGACTAGCACTTATACATCCATAAAGAGGTACATGTCGATAGGGAAGGAGTCGTAAAATATTTGCAAAAAGACAAAAACGCAGAATTAATTTTGTTATGTAACAATAAAAACTGTCTTTTTAAATAAGATTTATTGCTTAGATCACATTTAGTTTAACCGCCTCAACCCCCCCCCCTTTCCCGAGACAAATATCTTCCTGGACATGAATCCTGTGACCCTCCTCTGATACAAATAAATCTCAGTGCTAAATAAGCTTACCCTTGAATTGATCTCCAGTATAACAATTCTTTGAGTATTTGGTCTGAAATCTACAATCGACATATTCATAATTTTTGCAAGTCGCACAAATTTCCTTATCCTATTTCTCAGAAACAAATCATAGGATTCTGTTGGTCCCATTAGAACTTTGTTCAGGGAGGCAAGAATGAATTTCTTGAAATATCGACTAGGATCCATTCTCCATGTTTTGTGATGTGTCCTTTATTGGAAAATATATTCACAATAATGGTGAAGAGCATACGGTGAGGTTCAAATTTGGTTGACGTCGTAATGTGTACGAGAGAGAACTGCGATAAGCGTGTGATATGTGTGTTAGAAAGAGTGCATAAATGGCTTCCGTAACCTCATACTCAGGTTTCCAGGCAACAAGGTGCTTCTATTTCTTTCTAACACACATATTGCACGCTTCTCTTTAGTACACATTACGATGTCAGTGGTATTTGGCTTTCAGAGTATACAGTCTACAAGACAAGACTGGTGTTCTTTAGACGTTTGCGTTAATTTTTTCTAAGCCATCTGTTTGTTATTTGTCTTCTATTGCCGTTGGAATAGTTGAAAGTACTAATTTTAAACTGATAACAGAGTAGAAGAGAAGAAAAGAAAAACGATTTGTACAATACTGACTCGTCCAGGTTAGCGTCACTAAAGTAATACTATAGTCAAATAATTACAATTTTGGTCAAATTACCTTTACTACTATTTGTGGTTTCTATCCCTGAAGACATGTTGTGCAAGAGTTTGGAGTCAACCTTTTTTTTCTCACTAACATTGACATCCTGTGAAGTATTATACAAAATTTGATAATTTCTTTCGCTCTTATTCTCAGGTATCCTTTCCTAAAACAAAAATCAGTTATGCATATGTATGTAGAAAGTGTTCAAGTTTTGACTTGTCGGACGTTCACCATGTTACACAAACTATGCCACGCAACGTCCATTATCTGTCAACGGATGCAAATTGGGCGGATTATACTTTTCTGCACCTGCACGCTCGGTCGTTAATCCAGGTTTTTTCTTGTGCATTTTTATTCAAGTCAAAGAAAAAAATTGTTTATGAAAAGCCTGTTGATTTGTTTGCATCCACACATGGTGGATAAAACTTTGAGCAACTACATCGAAAGTTGCTGATATTCATAGTAGTGGATGGTGATCTATCGCTAGATGAAATTATGTTTTAATTAATTAATTTTGTTCTCATTCATCGTCCTCTGAGTTTTGCACCCAATTCAGTTGATTCTTTTCAATTTGCTTGGATGCCATAATTTCACACAATATTATAAAGTTCAACATGCTTACAAACCTGATATTCAGGAGGGTCATAACTAATTATAGAAATGGGCCTATTCATAGCTTCTTGGTAGCTTCTTTTATCTCTAGGAAACCCCATCACTTTTTGCTGCTCTGCCTTGAGAGCTTCCTCTTCAGCATGCCTCGCCATCACTTCCCTCACAATTTGTTCTAACCTGGAGTTGTTTTCGTTTTCTTTCTCCATTTTCCTTTTCCTGATTAGATCCCGTATCCTTTCGAAGCTTTGCGCCAATTTAGATTCATCGCCCACCTCCTAAAAATACACGTTTGAATGAGAATAAAGATTCTTGTTTCACAAACAGATGTATGTCATTAATATACAATTATTGTAAGACAGTGAACTTATATGAAATATTGTTTTAGATTTTAATTTGTTCACTTCCTATGCCACTGGCGAGGAAGTATCGTAATCGTGAAAAATATAAAAAATGAGGTATGTTTTTGGATGCTATATGATATCACGAAAAAGTATGACATTCATTTTCATATGTATGTATGTCTGTCGATATGTGTAGCAGCTAGGATCCGCTACTCGACTGAATGTGGACCGTTAATTGTCATCATGTGTGCCCGAAGGAATTTTTCTCAAGGAAAGGGGGACCATCCGTCGGCAAGAGATAGCTGTAAAATCGTACCTGCGTGACCTGCCTCCTAAACTTTTGAAGAGCAAGAGGTAGCATATTTTTTTTAGGGAGCTAAATCCTATGCAGCCTCAAAGTTATACAGAAAATGATGCTAAGTATGCAAATTTGAAATGTACGAACTTCTTTGTATGGTCCATTAAGTTTTTTTGTTATATATGTACATAGCTTGTTTTTTAGGAAGTGCAGTCGCCCTACTTGACGGCTTTTTTATGTCTAACCAGCATACAGAAATTCTTCGATACATAAATTATTTCTTATAGTGTTACTACTATGGTCTAAGTCTAAACCAAGGTGCTTGAACCCATAATCATAAAAAATATGTGATTTATATTTGCAATGTACTTTGACCAATAAGACAGGTGAAATAGGAAAGCAGCCAGATTTACAACCATTGCTTCTGCATATATTCAAAATACTTATATCTTAAGATAATGACTGAAAACGGGGATTACGATAGGGACACAGAATAAGTCATGTTTACCACCTATTTAAATTATTATGGGATAAAATGTACAGGCGCTTGAATTTTGGAGGCTGGATTTGAAATGGCTGGCTGGCTAACTGGAACGACCTACTCTGGTCAAATTCGGGTTTACTGATTTCTCATTCTCGGTGTTTTCAAGGGATTTCTTGTGCACCTGATTCACTACTTCTGCTAACATCTTCCTAAGAATGTCAGCTAGGATGTAGTAGACGAGCTCCCCAGCACTTTTATATACCTTCTGGAAGCACTTCTATAATTTGAGAATGTCACTTTCACGTTTGCGAGAGGACACAACAGCAAGTCCATGTGTTAGTACCTGATAGATCCAGTATTTTTATAGAAGCGTTCGCGCTAATGTCAGTGATTGGAGACAAAGCGTATGCTGCTTAATTAGTCTTAATATTTTTTTTAACAAAGACGTCTGTGCTGACCGTTCTATTGAGATTGAGCCCAAAGTACCGTATTTAATCGAGTTTTTTTATTTTTTTATACTACTACCACCACAAAGGCCTTAGCACCCGCCATGGACTACTGTGGGGGCAATAGTGGGATACCGAGGAAAGGGGGGGACGCCACATGGACCCTAGCGAAGGAACACGTGCGCATGTAACATTCACATATTCAGGCGCCGCCTACTAAATCCGCCGGGTGGTACCTCCACGTTCGATAGTCGGAGACCATCTACCACCTACGGACAATCACAACATCCATAGCCAAGAGCAAAATTCTCTGATTCTGAATAGATAATTTTGCGACAGCATCCATATCTGTATTAACATAATAAGATCTGTGTGTCATCACTTGATAAGGGATTAAGTACGGTACTAGTTGATCCCTCTTAGAACAACATCAAATGGATCATACAATCAGTACATAGTCCGACAATGCGATCAGCCTACTGCCCGACCGACCGTACCGACCATCCAGCAACGTCGCAAGCTAGCACGAAAACACGCATGATAGCCCAGTTATTCCTATGTATCCAAACCAGAAAGGCGCGCTCTCGTTAAATTGTTCGGCAAGCATACATCGAAGACATGTCTTCACAATTGAACATTTAAGGCCATATTGTGCCTATAATCACATGGGCATCAAAAATTGACATGCTATCCCACACCCCCTACAAACCCAGCATCAAATTTTATGCCTTCGCATTTCTTTCTGAATTTTTTAAAAATTTTTTTCGTGAATTTGCTCCTAGCTGCCATTGGAATGATTTTCAAAATTTATGCTTTTTTGTTTTTGGCATAGTGGGAACCCGATGTGATGATTTCATCCAAATCAGAGCAGTACATGTTATAGGCGATCCAAAGATTAACGGACCCACTGACAGACAGACGACAAAAACTAATAACAGTTTTTCGCCCAGTGACGTAGGAAGTGAAACTGGCTTCGAGTGAAGAATATTCCGAAGCTGGTAGTCTACTGTTTTGATTTATTTTATCGAACAACTGAAAATATGTATAGTTTATGAGATACTAATTTTATTAGTACGTCATTTCCTTACATTCGACCTTTTACCATCTAAATAATATTTTATGTGAAAATTAAAGCCCATGAGACAAAAATTGGTATAACAGGTTTATTATCGAATAATAGATAACCATGCGTTGTCCATATTTGCTAATTAACAGAATTACATCAAATCATTGATTGTAGCTATAGAACAGGTGCATTTTGTTCAAATATGATTATAAGGTGTTATGGGTCCGTGTTGTATAACTGTGATGCCATCAGTGGATGATGATCTAAAATTTTCAGAGTAGTAGAACGTGAGATATGGCAAGACGTGAGCACAGCTCAAAACACTTGCTAATATACTTTATTTGAGTCAGATAATTTATTCGTTCTGCAAGGTAGTGAAACTACCATTTGCGCTTTGAACAAACTGTATGAATGTCTGGTTTCGTGGCATATTAGGATCCGTCACTTTGCAGATGAACTATTTCGACATTTGAGCAACAGTTGCTACTTCGTCTGTCATAAATCCTTGACTTGACTCTGTTGTATCTATGTTCATGAGATGTTGATGTTCTTTGCTGTGTGCAAAGCTTTTATTGGCATGATATATTTTACTTCCGCCAATTTTTCTTCCGTCTTCCACAAACATTCTATTCCTGTTTCAAAACGATCAACTCTGTCAACGGTTCCTTGCAAGTTCAGAACTACTCACGACATTAAGTGGAGTTGCCTCAGGCTTATGCCCTGGAAGACAATGAAAGTGCATTGACCTCGAAGATTTTTAATGAAATAGATTGAAGATACATTAAAAAGTTTACATATTAGTCTAATTTTTTTTTCATGATACTGCTATCTAGGTTTATAATGCCCATCAATATGCTATAATATGCTAATCAATACTTAGGTATTTACGATCTTGTTGCTGAGAAACATGATGCACAAGAATATTTTTTGAAATCCGATTTCATATTTTTTGATCTTGCAGAGACTGCTTGAGTTACTTAGACCTTCTGTATTGAAAGTGGATGTTAAGGGACTAACATAAAACATTGATTATATCGACTCAATCACTCCAGTAGTAGGGATATTTAAATCGAACTCGATACTTGGAAGTTTTACTAAGCACGGCACTGGTTTTTTTGTGACAAGATCAATGATTTTTAATACGAAAAAAATGTTTCCGCTAAAGAAATTAAAAATGATATGAAAACAGAATGTGCACAGAATATATAGAATTTTAAATATACAGTATTAGAATCCCATTCCGCTAAAATCTCAAAGGTTTCGAGATTTCCGTAGTTTTACTCCTATGACTAATTACAGGCTTAATAAGAGGGCATATTCAAATGTTTAAGGACTTTGTGCGTTTATTTGCCAAGGAAGAGTTAAATTTGGTAGAAACTTTCAGATAATCAAACAGCAAGAAATCTTATTAATGATTGTACTTCTTCCGGGCTCCGAGTTTTAGTTCTCTGGCTCTCATAAACCCTTGACACGACTCTGTTGTTCGTGACGAAAACGTTTGGAGGTTGTTTATGCGTTGTGACCTTGTATTTACATGTTCTATTTTTGTGTCACGGAATGTAAAAATGTCCCTAACATTTTTTCTGTAGGAGTATTAAGCAGCATAAAATAATATATACGAGGTTGAAAAGTGGCTGATCTGTTCGGTGGTATCTAGATAAATTATAGACGTATTTTCTTTCAGACATTAGGCACTTATAAAAATAATGATCATTATGACAATGGTTTTGATAGCGACTCAAATGGAGTTGGTTAACATATCTTTATCGATGAGCTAGATCCTAGATAATTGCCAGGTTTGTGTACTAATCAGAAGTTGGTGCTTGATCTAATAATTTGGCCACTTATTGTCCGCCTTATCTCAGAATGGAATTGATTATATGTCAAAAATGGTATTTGCTAAATTAATTCACACACTTGATCTCCAAATAATATCTGAAGTCTTAATACAAAGGTTTTATCACGGTTTGGGTGTGTGATTTGAGCTTACGCATGACGATGTTTGATATAACAATATAATAGTAGTGCCTAAAGATAGAACTACAATGTTGGCAGTCTGTATTAGAAGTAACTTCAAAAAACAACGGTCATCTACCACCCAATTTGTGTGTATGCGTGTGCAAGGTCGAGCACTAGTTGCGGTACATTAGCTTGCGCAGAGTGGAATTTCCCTTAGGAAAATTAAGCTATCTACATGGTCCCAGTCCGGTTGCTCATCTCGTATGTTGTTGTCGCGTACACAAGTAAGCAAATCTACTAACTGAACCAATTGCAAAGCGATCTCAAACGCAGTTACTTTTGCTCACGTGAATTGTTGCTTCTGTTCATTTTCTTAAAATACTCCAATAATTTTGGAAAAAACTATCGATATTGTCCGTTAGCTGTATTTGCAGATACTGCTATGTTTAATATAACGAAGAGTAATAAAAGGTGAATTCAAAATGGTGCGCCCATGTCGATTGATTGTTAAATTGACAGTGGTAAGCATAGATTAGGAAAACCTATAGGTTGGTGTAAAAATTTTCGAGGTGGCGAGACAAAGATAAAGAACGTATCTCTGGGCTTACACAACCAAATGTTTGCCAAAAGCTATGCCAAAAACCGTGAAATGAAGTATAGGTCATATTTAATGTGATCGATATACAGAGAAATATAAATATCACGGATGTGATAATGTGTGCGAGAGAGAGAGAGGAGCGAGAAGCGTGTAATACGTGTACGTTAGAAAGAGTGAGCCAATTGTAACGCGGGAAGGCACAGCTGCGTCCTAGTTTTTGGGGTGGTTTAAAAATATGTCCAATATGCATAATTGTATGCTGGATAATGTATATTTTAAACGATTTTTGACTATTAGGCTATTAGATTTGTATTTAAGCGTGATAAAATATTCAAAATAAAGCAAAATTAACGTGCTTTGAACTAAACTGGATCGAACTACTTCACAATAATGCTTTAAAGTAATTAAGGTAAAACAAAGTTTTAACATAAAAATGTGTAGAAATAAAAAGAACCTACGTGACACAATCATGCTAAAATATACCTCCTTCCTCGTTTTCAGTTCTTCAGAATTGAAGCTGTTGAGCAACAAAGCTAAGAACAGGTTAAGCACCATGAAGTTGCCCATCACTAACGTTGGAAGAAAAACTGCTAAGCACGTCCCTGGACCCTGAAAATTATAATCAGTTTCAAATGTCGATATTGGACCTGAACTTGTGTTGGATAGAATTTTGACTAGTTCTACTACTTGCAGTTACTTCCCAAACAATACTTGGTTGTTTTTTATTGAGGTAGGATATTCTTTTAAGGTCGTAATGTTTTCCGGGTGTTTCAAATTTGACTCTTACCATTGGAATCTCGGAAGTATGTTTAATAGGAACAAAGTTGCGCATTTTGGTAAGAAAATGGGACTTGGAAAGATTCGTAGTTTCGAGTACTTCCGGAGATAGACGAAAGACACCGAATTTTCCCAAAATCGTTTTTATTTTTCTAAAATGACATCTCAGCCGTATATTAATACTATTTGAATAGAAGAATAGAGTTTTTTGGTCCTGATTTCATAAAGGTATAATATGTTATATAGTGACTTTGCCAAACCTAATAATACTCTCACAGTTATCTTTAAAAATAATAATTCTTAACATTTTTATCCGATTAAATCACCAAAGCTTCAGTTTTTGAGAGTATTGTTTGAATGGCATTCAGACAATTTATCGATTATACCAGGCGTTATCTTAACCCGACGTAGCCAGTGTACATGACACCTCAGCTCTAGATTACTAGTATTTGAATGCAAGATGTGTATATCAGCTTTTGCCCCTTTCACACGATCCGGTTCGCGCTGCGCGCTTGATGCGGCGATGGGCTATGGGAGTAGATGAGTCTTTCCACACAATATCCGGCGCACAGCGCAAATTCTCGCCGGACTCCCCTACGTCGAACATGCGGCCTCCATGCTGGACTACTCTGCGAAGGGCTATTGTTGTTATTGGGGTTTACACACAGTCCGGTGCGCGCCGCACGCCCCAACCTCTAGTCTTGAATCTGCCACTGGAGAGTAAAGGCTTACGTGTACTACGGTATTGGTTTTGTTCAAGTGTTGTGTTTTGCCTTTCCTCACTGTTCCGCAATGGATTGAATAAAACTTTGAAGAAGCCAGAAGTATGTCGGTTTTGAAGCAATGGGTGAATCCAAAACCGCCTATTTCTTATTCGCCGTCTCCATAGCAAGTACATGGCTAGCACTTTCGTCTTTCGCGCTGTGATTATTTCAATAGCTAGCCTCAACTGAACAGTCAAAGGAGCACGCCGGATCGTGTGAAAGAGTCCTTAGATATGACAGACATAAAATGAGTTTAGGAAGCTGTCTGCATCGTCGAGGAAAAATGTTTCCATCAGTTACAGGAAATAACACCGTTCCCAATGTTCCCAATACGACCCTTATATGTGTATAACATAATAACAAAGTAAAAAATATATTTTTAAAAGCAAGCTTTCATTTAGCTGTTCATGAGGTGAACAAAAAATTTAAAAATATTGTATTTTTTTAATGGAAACGTTTAAACGATAATCAAGGTCCTTCATTTCAAGTTTTCAAATAAAAGCGTGTTACACCCTCTTTCCAACCTACTGTGAAAGCGCAACATGCTTTTATATCAAATATTTCCAATCGAAAAAAGATTTTTTTCAAGCGTTTAGTTTCTTATTTTATCAATTTTTTACATTTCAGTATCTATGATATCAAATAATCAGTTTGGTAATTTCTATATAACTTTCATATATGTTATTAACAGGGACCTATTCAACTTCTTACCTTATTTGTATTACAAAATATGGATTGATATGAATTATACAACGAGAAATCGTTATTTCGCGGAGATCTTCATAGCGTGTCTCTCATTAAACCCTTTCGTTTGATATCCATGGTATAGGGGCGACTACGAAAATTATAAATTGCCATTTTGCCTTGGATTTAGTGTGACATCGCGTTGCTTGTAAGGTTTCTCTCTTAAAGTCCTTCAATTTGATACCTATATCACAGCGGTGTCTATGATAATTATTAACGCTATCTTGGGGCGGTCGCCATATTGCGTATTGCGTTTCTCTGATTAAGCCCCTTTATTTGATACTCATACCATAGTGGTGACTGTGAAAAATAACAATCGCCATTTTGTGGCCGCCGCCGTATCGGATTTAGAATGACGTCACTTGCTTATTGTGTTTCTGTCATATAGCCACTTTATTTGATACCTATGTCATAGGGGTAACTGTAAAAAATATAAATCGAAATTTTGCGCTGGGTGTCACATTGGATTTATTACGACGTCACGTCCTATTGTGCATAAGGGTTACACCATATTGAATTCAAAGTGGCGACAATTAGTTTATTTTGTATTGACATGGGAACCAAACGTGTGTACATAATTTTAGCTGAGTTGGTTGAGGTTAACTGGTTCGAAATTCATTTCCAAGATTTGTCCCACATTTACATACTAACATACCAACGAACAACAATTCAAGTTAAATAAAAGCTTGTGAAATTTTAGAACGTGATTGTTCTTTAATCGATGACTTAAGACTATCTATAGGAAGATTACTTCTTTAGATGTTTGTGTTTTTTTTTCACCAATCTGTGTCATTATACGTACAATAGCACATCATTAAAACCAGAAATAGAAACTGTTTACTGAGCACTAGCTCATAAAAACTGAAAGAATGGTGGCTGATGAAACAATTGACTATCTGATAATATTAAGTCCTACATAGGAAATCCTGTTTTTTGATATAAATTGAATTGAATTTAAAACTCTATTACCTATGGATATAATCCAATATGGCATCTCTAGGAAAAATAAAGTTGCAATATAATATTTGCTTGAACGGCGTTGGTTGCATTAGGTTTAGTACTCCACAAATATGCCAAACATAAGGAAAAGTAGCGTTCTTTGGAAATATTTTGTTAGAGTTTACGATCGGAGGATTAACGAATAATATATGCCTCAAGAGAGATGTTCTGGCAGATATATGAACATTTTGCAGGTCAAGGGACATCTGGGAATTCCCAATGAAAACGGGAGCACGAATCAGTAAATACACTAAACCAGGAAGTCCATGCGCATACCAATCTACCAGAGATTGCAAGATTTGACAATCCTGTCCAGTGGTGGAATGACAATAAATTACGATTTGTCAAAATTTTCCCACAAGCTGCCACACGTTTATCGGTAACATTGTAGCGAGTTCTGAGACAGGCAACATTTATAATGCCGGACGAAGCAGATTAACACCTGACAGGGCAGTAACTTTATTAATCCTACACCACAATCTGCGTAAGTTAAATTTTATGTATTAATTATTTTAATTTACATAGCTCTTAAAGCTCCAGTCATAGTATTTTTCATCTTTAGTATTGCATTTACTCATTTTTCACCTTTTGCCAAAAATTTAAGACTCAATATCGCTGTTACGTTTCATTTTTTATAGATATACGTAAGAGGTAAATGTTACTTTAATTTATTTAAATAAAGTGAATGTTTTTCTTAGCATCGTGTGTGAACAATAACAAGGCATTTTATATCGGCCGGCCTATATCGGCATACGTATATCAGCCAAGAAGGCCTTTATTGATGTTATATATTGGTAACGGTCGATCCCTAGTAATTTTGTTACATCTCAGACGATACCAGGAGAAAAATATAAATTAACCGGTATTTTCTTAGTTGCCTAAAAAATGCCCCCACTTTACTAACTTCGTATCTCTTACCGTTTGCGAGATCCCAGTGGTGAGATTCGAATCTGAAATATCTGGTATATAGAGCCCATCTAGCGCATTGCAAAAGGGTTTGAGAAGACTAAATCTTGAATTACTAGAATCTAACAAACGCGGTGATGCAACTTAAAGGTGGTTCCTTTACACCATCCAGTCAGCGTAATTACATAACATTTATAATATATCCACAACAGCTTTTAACTTGTTCATTTTATATATAAATGTACTTGATTAAATACCTACCTCTGTTTTTTCTGCCCTCATACAATCCCATAACGGTTCTATCCATTCTCCACACAAAATACGAAAAATCATCATAAAGGAATGAAAAAAATCTGTGAAATTCCACCTGCAAAATTACAATCTCTTTATTATCTGGTAATGTGACATCACAGAAACGTGGCTATAGTGTGTATTAACATGACAGGTCATTTCGTGAAGAAAATTCAATATCAACATCTGTTTGCAAGGACTTTTTAACAGGGCATTCAAATGGAAAAGGTAAAAAGAAGTCTTATCTCAATATATGTTTTACACAAAAATGATCTGACTAGAAAATACTATGCGAAAAGGATATTTGTGTCACCACTCCATAAGAAATAAATTCAACTGTTTAAAACTTATCAGCAGACTGATAGTCCTGAAGAACTGAACTCCAGTATACCATGAATATACAATGTGTTCCGCAAGCAAATGTACACAATGTGATGGCAGTTAGTATGAACCAAGGCTTTTTCATATCTGAAAATGAAAGAATTGTAATTTCATTTCATTTATAACGTATGGTCCAACAAAACACCCTGAATATACAACATCGAATATATTGGGAACAATTGACCTGATTTATGGAACTTTGAGTAATAATAGCGTTTCCTTGGAATTAATAAAAATAAAAACTAGTCGGAAGGCTAAAAAAACCAAGGCCAAACTAGTTTACCAACTTCTTTTGTGTCTAATCAAAATAAACACTCTGTGGATTCTTAGTGCTGAGAAAAACAGATGTAGTACGTTACTATTTTTTTAAATATGCTTTGTTGAAATAACGCATAATAAAATAAGGATCATAATCGTTACTCTATTCGTCCAAATTTTGCAAAGTATAGCCTGGAGTTGAACTAAAAAGGGTTTGGTAACTCAAAATTCCACGGCTAGATTACATTTTTTAGTCCCTTTGAAATTTGCTAAGAACATGGTCATCGCGAGAGGTCGCTTTCAGATCTAACGCTGCTTCTACTACATATTAACAAAGTTCTCTCGAGCACCTTGAATCTGAGCTTCAGCTTTGCGGATAATCGCACTTCCTCTTTGCCCAAGCACACATCTAGATTGTTTGAGTGTTCTGCCAAGAGGTTATTCGTTTCGGCCAAGAACTTGATTATGGCCAGAAAATACTTTTCTCAAAAAAAACCTGCTCACTTTGTACAAGGCTCTTGATAAAAGTCCGGCTCACGTGACTGGGGTGCTGGCGCTTCAACCAGACTGTCCACGCTTGATGCTGTTCAGGGGAGGCTTGTCCGACTGATGAACGTCGCTTCCCTGGCAGATGATCTCCAACCTCTTCTGCACGGACAAGGAGGGAGTCTGATGTGAAACAATGAATTGTGCTTAAAAAAGACACCGCTTATGAATTGACTAGATTTGAGCTTGCAGACCAGTTCGAAATTGAGTTAGAAAACCATGTAAATTGTACAATAACTTAAATGTAACTGACGGTTTTGGTTAGGTCATGTTACAGTGTGCGAAATATGCATTCAGATTTTTTATTTGCAATTTTTAAATGCCTTGGTCCATACTACCTAACGTTTTACAATATCTTTTGCCCTGTGGAACAGCCACCATATTAAAACATAGAATAAAATACATGCAGTGTAACCTAAAAATATGTTTAGGCAGGAGGAAATTGAAATAAAATATAAAAGTGTCAGTAGTTTATCAATTGATTACATACCTAGGCACAGGATCCGGATGAAATTTAGCCTCCGTATAGTCCTTTGAAAACAGCTGCATCCCGATCACGGCGAATATGTAAATAACTATAACTAATACAAACGTTAGGTTTCCCAAGGCTCCTATTGTGCTTATAATTATACTGAGCAAAACCTTCATAGTTATCCATGATTGCGCTAATTTCAGAACTCGAAGCTGAAAAAAATGTTCCAATAGCTTAGTAAAACCATCAGAGAGAATGAATAGTCGCCACTTGAAAGCTGAGCGAGGCATGTGTGTTAAGTGTCCTTTTGACTTGAAAGTATACAATTAATATCAAAATGCTTGCATGGTTAGTAATCTTGTCTTTAAAATATTTCTCTTGATTATGAATCAGTTACATTCTAAATTGATTAAAATACAACATTTGTCGTACGTTATTGTAATTCTGGCTGCATGTAGTTAGAAAATATATTTCACAGTCAATGTCCCACTACAGGGTGCTTTAACGGGCATTCACTCAACTATCAAGTGGCGACTATGAACCCTGGCGTAGACTTTTGAATGTAACTATTATAAGCTATGATAATGAATTCTGCAAAACTTACGAGGCGAAGCCCCCTCAACACCGACAGTCCATCCACTAGTTCGAAGATCAAATCTAGAAGGCTGGCCGATACGATGATCAAATCAAAAATGTTCCAGCCACAGTAAAAGAAGTCCTTACTAAGCGCCATTATCTTCAGACAGCACTCGAAGGTGAAAATTGATGTAAAAACCTGGAACAAAGGTTGTTCATTCTGTGAAAAACTATCGTTTCAATGGACAAAAGAAAGTTTTACGAAAAACGGCTGCGATATTTTATATGAAAGTTAGGTGTGAGATAACTACGAAAAGGACCCCTCACAAAACATATGGAAAATGGGTCCGAGTCAATTCGTTCCTGGACCAAAGCATTCGTTTTCCAGAAATACGGGCTTGAAGTTTGACTAAGTTGCAAAAATGGTGAATGTGCCGAGTGAGGTTCGCAGACCAAAAACTCGAAGAATCGGTATACTGAAACATATATTTCATTAAAACACCTTGGAGGGAGGTGTTAGAACCGTAATGCTTACAAGGTTGATTCAGGGGCAAGTTGTGCTGTCTTATTATGATAGACCTGGATAGTGGATAAAGATTTTGGTGGATATGCATCTCTAAGAGACCTCAAAAGTGATGCACATCCACCTAAAATGCCAAAATGTGTGATGTTAATTACTCACGTATTGACCCCCAATTTTGACTTAAGATTTGTACCCAGCGTGGAAAATTACATAGGAAAAACATAGTGGTAGCCCAACCACAAACCAGTTTTTTTAATTTGTGGGCCTGTGTAATTAATGGGAATTATTGTAGATTTAAATCTTGATCCAAAAGCTACGCACAAGTAGTACTTAATTCTGTTATGAGATTGTAGTTCATTATCCTTCTAAGAAGTTGACCTAAGTCGTTTCAGATGCCGGAAGCATTTCATGTAAAGCATACAGAAACCGGAGATTTCAGTTTTGCTATAGAAATGTAGAGTAACATAGGCACAAATGTGGCCAGTGTAGTGCATACAGACACCCCCAGGACTTTGGACGCAGTGTTGGATTAAAATGAATGGAGCCATTAATTTCCGGCGGCGAGGCTTCCGCATGAAACGTAGCCGCTCCGCGGATTACCAGACGTAGATTTTGCGGCCACGGCCGGCACAAGGCTTATTTATGATCGTTAGAGAGCCTGATAAATAATTTGTAACAGTCTCGGTATTTTAAAGGCATTTGGGCATCCCGAGATGGACAACCTGCATTTTCAATGTCAATTTTGTATAATGATTCGTTTACACATTTTTTTTTAAATCCATCTTTTGTAATCTTACATTCTTGTCTATTAAAATTGGATCACTATCCATTATCAGTATTCATAAAGAGATTTTTTAATTACACTTTAAACATTTTTGAATTCGAACACTGTTAAATATAATTATTCAATTTAAACAATTCAAATATTCCCTTTTAAAATACAGATTTGCTAGTTATGTTACTGTTACAATTTTGCAGATGAAAATATATACTGCCACTAGTTTTGTAGTTATGATAATGACTATTTAATTTTGAGAAGTTTTCTAAATGTGGTGGTAATAACTGAATTTTTAATGGGAAAATAGGTATTAAATAGCATAAGAAATTTTTTACATTCAACTACTCTAGTTCTTCTATCATAGACGTAGTCCTAGAACATTTATTTTTATTTAAAATGATTCTCATAGCTGTATTCTGTAGAATATTTAATTTTGAGAATATGTATTCATTTTCTGGAAACAATACAAAAAATGGGGAAGAGTTAGAGTATTATACACATATTTTTTTTTGGAATACGTACTAAGATTATGGGAAACTCTATAGAAATAATTATCTTTTTTGATGATATAATGCTCGTGAAACGGTAGTTTACTATTCACATATATACCAAGATATTTAAATGATTCGACTACTTCAACATTTTCATCATTAATCATGAGCCTAATTGTATTGTCACCTAAATGGTTCCCTATTGACATACATTTTGTTTTATTAGTGTGTAATTTAAGTTTATTAATATTTAACCAATTCATAATTCTTTAATATCATTTGACAGTTCTAAAGCAGTATCCAAATGCTTATGTGCTATATATATCAATGTATCGTTCGCAAATATTTGAATTTTGTAGTGTTCAAATTTCAGAGATATCATTTATATACATAATAAATAGTAACGTCCCCAATTTTCTCCCTTGTGGCACCCCTATTTTGAATGCTAGCATAATATTTCCAACTGTAGTTTTTTGAGGTTTATTTAGTGAATAATCTTGTAAAAGGTTTAACACTGATCCTGTAAAACCATAGTGATGCAATTTCATTATCCTTTTTCTCTATCTATAGTCTCAAATGACCTTTTGAATTATAAAAATACTGTTATAATAGATTCTTTCTCATCTATACTTCTTCTCCAATCTTCCACGACTATTTGGATTGGTGTTTCTGAAGAATGTTTTTTCCAAATCTGGCTTAATTTTGTCAAAATTTTGTTTTCTTCATTGAATTCGATTATTTGTTCGTATACTAACCCTTCGAACATTACATCTGGCAAGACATTAATCGGCCGCATATTCGTATATCATATACAGGGTGTTTCAGTTTATTGTTGCATAACTTTAAGATTCGATAGAACTTTTAAAATTAATTTATAAAGTCTATATAAACATGGGTCGAAAAATGTGTGGCTTCCGAAATACAGGGTGTTTAAATTTACTTTCTAAAATAGTTTTTTTAAATATTTCGAACAATATTTGATGTACAACAGTGAAAATTGGTATACGAGGGTTTTTGGTACAACAAAACGAACCATGGGCATAGTTTTACTGTAACCGCTAGAGGGCGCTCTCTACTGTACCTGCAGTGTATTAAAATGAAAATTTTTTCTTAGTGCAATTTTTTGCTTTTTGAATAAAAAAACTGATTCATCGCACTTTTCTGCATAAAAAAGATCTCCTGTGAGTTTTCGTTATAGTTAGCCGTTTTGAGATATTTCAATTTTTAAGGTTTGATGCATTTTTAATTATTTATGGGAAAATAATATTTTTTTTTACATTTTCGATTTTGAATTACAAGTAATTAAGATGATCGTTTAGATTGTGTTTTTAAACACTGCAATAATTCCTATCTCCAGATAAACACAAAAAACAGAATATTAATTTGTTAAATTGTCCAATATTATTCTTAACAAATCAAATTAATTATTTACAACTAAAATGCTATTGGATAGTTAGGACAAACATACAAAATCTAAAGTAGTTGCTTGAAATGTAAACCCAATTGTTCAATACACAATTCACATCTACGAATGATCGAACGTGGTATAGCATTATTCAAATCAGGCCTTATTTCATCACATGCATTCCTGATTCTGTCTATTAGCATATCTCTTGTGGGTGTTTAAATTTACTTTCTAAAATAGTTTTTTTTAAATATTTCGAACAATATTTGATGTATAACAGTGAAAATTGGTATACAAGGGTTTTTTGGTACAACAAAACGAACCATAGGCATAGTTTTACTGTAGCCTCTAGAGGGCGCTCTCTACTGTACCTGTAGTGTATTAAAATGACCGAAATTTTTTTCTTAGTGTAATTTTTTGCTTTTTGAATAAAAAAAACTGATTCTTTGCACTTTCCAACATAAAAAAGCTCTCTTGTGAATTTTCTTTATAGTTAGCCTTTTTTGAGATATTTCGATTTTTAAGGTTCGATGCATTTTTAATTATTTATGATAAAATAACGTTAAAAAGTCAGTATCTCGATAAGATAGAAGTAGGCTGAGCCTGCAAATATTTTTGAAATTGAAAGCAGAATAAGGTTAAACGTCAATTAGTTGACAGTTAGTTTTGTTGTCTGTTGAAACCTGAATCGTTTTTTTGCAATTGTGAATGCACGAAATTTAGTTTCTTTTACCTGTTTTTTTTGTAAGTTTTATAAAAATGCCATTTTTATTCTCCAATCCAGAGTTAGCGGATATTCATTTTGTATATGGCTTTGTAAATGGAAACGCAGCAGAAGCAGCCATAGAATACGCACGAAGATTTCCAAACAGACGACATCCAACTCGCTCAGTATTTATACGAGTGCATCGCCAAATAATTGAACATGGTTTTGGAAATCTCCAAAGGGATCAAAACATAAATGTTCGTCAGCGCAGATTTACCCATATGATTCTGCGTGAGTTTGATAGAGATCCGACCACAAGTGTTAGGAGAGTTTCTGGTGCCTTGGGAATTTCAGCAAGCCATGCTCACCGTATTTTTAGAAATGACCATAGACGTCCTTACCATTTGCAACCTGTGCAAGGACTACAGCCAGGGGACGGAGAACGAAGAATCACATTTTGTCAGTGGATTCTTGATAGAACTGATAATAATAGGGAGTTTTTAGGTAACGTTTTATGGACCGATGAGTCATGCTTCACTAGACGTGGAAATAAATTTTCAGCATGAATTTAGTGTGAACGTGTGGATTGGTATCTACCGTAATCGACTATTTGGACCCTACCTTTTGCCTGCAAGGTTAAATGCTGCGACCTTCTTGGAAGTTTTAAAGGCTGAACATGCAAATATGTGGGATGATGTTATGTTAGATTTAAGAACATTGGCCTGGTTCCAGCTTGATGGTTGTCCAGCTCATTATTCGAGAATAGTTAGAAACTGGCTGGACGAAAATTATCCAGAAAGAGGGATCGGCCGTGGAGGACCAGTCGCCTGGCCTCCACGATCCCCTGACCTAAATCCATTAGATTTCTTTGTGTGGGGGTTTTTAAAACAAAAAGTGTACCAGACTCCCGTAACCACAAGAGATATGCTAATAGGCAGAATCAGGAATGCATGTGATGAAATAAGGCCTTATTTGAATAATGCTATACCACGTTCGATCATTCGTAGATGTGAATTGTGTATTGAACAATTGGGTTTACATTTCGAGCAACTACTTTAGATTTTGTATGTTTGTCCTAACTATCCAATAGGATTTTAGTTGTAAATAATTAATTTAATTTTGTTAAAAATAATATTGGAAAATTCAACAAATTAATATTCTGTTTTTTTGTGTTTATTTGGAGTTAGGAATTATTGCTGTGTTTAAAGACACAATCTAAACGATCATCTTAATTACTTGTAATGCCCAAATCGAAAATGTAAAAAAAAATATTATTTTCCAATAAATAATTAAAAATGCATCAAACTTTAAAAATCGAAATATCTCAAAAACGGCTAACTATAATGAAAACTCACAGGAGAGCTTTTTTATGTTGAAAAGTGCGAAGAATCATTTTTTTTATTCAAAAAGCAAAAAATTGCACTAAGAAAAAATTTTCATTTTAATACACTACAGGTACAGTAGAGAGCGCCCTCTAGCGGCTACAGTAAAACTATGCCCATGGTTCGTTTTGTTGTACCAAAAAACCCTCGTATACCAATTTTCACTGTTATACATCAAATATTGTTCGAAATATTTAAAAAAAACTATTTTAGAAAGTAAATTTTAACGCCCTGTATTTCGGAAACCACGCACTTTTCGACCCATTTTTATATAGACTTTATGCATTAATTTTAAAAGTTCTATCGAATCTTAAAGTTATGCAACAATAAACTGAAACACCCTGTATAGCTCAGGCATAGGGGTGATGGTGGATCACCATGTACTAAACAATGATTCATCCATAATAATAATAATTTCTCTCCAATTATATTACAACAATCATTTAGAATCTTTTTTGAGATATTCTCACTTGGATTTTATTAGATTTGAATTCTGAGATAGATTTTCTTATATTGTTGATATCTATGGTAGGTCAGTTGTATATGCAGTCAATCTCTTGGGAGGCCGGCCTCGTTCTAGGTTTTAACTGACATATGTCCATTTTCGAGTTAAAACATATCCTGGAACATGTTCTTTGCAAAGAATGTCAACCACTCCATAATTCTTCTCTACATTGGATCAATTTCACAGGTGATATCACAGAGAAATTGTTGCCTTACCAACATCCCACATCTAGTCCTTTTATGATTGTTGACTCATTTTCCATGAGCTATTATAGTATGGGCAGATTGCTGCGAATAGATATTTTTAGGTGCTCAGAAGCTTACTGCCAACTTGGTGGAGATGAGTTGCAAAATCGATCATACTCATTACATTGTTTTTCACTGGTTAATAATTCTCAGAGCCTAAATGAAGAGTTACTTTTGGATATTCCCAAGAAAGAAAATATTGTCTGCCTGCAAACTGCATTGCTTATTTTGGGGAGGGTTCTTCACAACAGCTACAATTCATCGAACAATTTTGATCTAATAATTAGAGAATTGAAGCTTTTGAGATGCTGATATGGCCAATTTTTTGAAATAAGACAGCAAAAAGAGCTATCTACTACCAGAATCGACCACTCCGAAAGTGAAAACTTCAAGCTGACTGTTGGTGTTGTATCCTGGTTCGCATTGTTAACCGGGTCACCACTGTGGCCGTTAAATGCCGCCGATTCAGGACCTAATTTAAATACGGTCTACTCGCTTTTAACAAAATGGTAATATAGCTTTCGTTCCACATACGGCCAACCATGGCAGCTGTTTCGTGCTATTTAATAACTCTTCAGCATGGTGTAGGGAGGGGTTGAAGGAAAAATGTTCATGTGCGTGTGTATGATAAGAATTCTACCTAATTCTAGTACTAGTGATGCCAACGTATGTATAAACTATAAAAAACATCTCAAACAACTTAATGCTTTTACTCTTTTAATAAGCTACACGAAATGGCACAAGTCTTTTCTCTATAGCCATTGGCTACTTGGAACAGTCGCGCTATTTCTGATTCTGGTGATTTGCCTAAAATTCTGAATGCAAATTGTCATGTATACAGGGTTAACCAAATTAAGTGTCCACCATTAGTAACTTTGTTATTAGTGAAAATACAAAGTTGTTTGAATTAGCAAACTAGTAGCATTTTTAACGCTGGTAAAAATGAGAAATAAAAAAAAAAATTGAGAGTCGTTATTTTGATTTTTTTCAGTAAAATAACATTTTTTTAAATGGAAACCCCTGTATATTATATTTTTTTCTGTTAAAGCATCAAATTTTAAACAAAAAAGTTCATAATGACTTTTCCGCTAAAGTCAAAAATAAAGTCAAAATAACGATAAATATTTTTAATTATTTGCAGTATTATAATATTAAGACGGCTATGAAAACAACATGGCGTTCGCGATTTGACAGCATTAAGATAAGCGACAAATTGTTAAACTGGACATACTCGCAACTAGAAGGCTTTGGAAAACAATGATAAAATCAAATAATGTCAAACATTAGTGTAAATACTTGTTTATAAGCTTTATTGTGTCATTAATTTAAAGAAAAATGTTCTCCCATGAAGAAAAGTGTGATATGTTAGAATGCTATTTAGTGTGCAGAAAATCCTCCTTGAGAGCAAGAGAATACTACAGTGAATTATATCCCGCTCGCATTCAACCGTATGAACGATATTTTCTGAGACTTTATCGAAAATTTAGGGGCAACGAAAATGTGTTTGCTAAAACAAGGGCAAAAAAAGAATTCATAATAAGCGAGGCCACGGAAATTGCAGTTATTGGATATTTTGAAGCTTATCGTGAGAATTCAATAGCAGATATTCTCAAGGACTCTAATTTCAGTTATGGTACTGTTCAAAGGATTTTAAAAAAATACAAATTTATTCCGTATAAGTACCGACCAGTTCAAACGCTTTTGGCAGGGGATCCAGAGAGAAGACTTTTATGGACAGATGAATCAAATTTTTCAAATTCTGGAATGTTTAATAGAAAAAACCACCATTATTGGCCAAGAGAAAATCTTTTGTTAGTACATCCAAGAGGCCCACAAGTCCGTTTCAGTTTCAACGTTTGGTGCGGTATAATTGATTCAAAAATTGTTGGTCCGTTCTTTTATGAGGGAACCCTAACTGGTGAAAGATATGTGGAATTTATGTCAGAAATTCTGACTAATTTCTTAGACGAATTGGATCTTATAAGTAGACATCATCTGCATTTTCAGCAAGATGGCGCACCTGCCCACAACTCCAGAGGTACTTATCATTTTCTAAGTACTACTTTTAATGATCAGTGGATAGGAACAAATGGCCCAATACAGTGGCCTCCCAGATCACCAGATCTAAACCCACTTGATTACTTCTTGTGGGGTTACTTAAAGAACCAAATTTACAAGCGAAGGTACGATAATCTTGACGCGTTAAAGACTGCAGTTAGGGAAAAGATAACCCAGATAGATGGTAGGACCATACTTAAGACAGTTCGAGCAGTTGAAAAACGTGCCCAAAAATGTATTGAAGAACAAGGTGGTGTTTTCGAGCAACTTCTTTAAAAAAAATTGTTATTGTATTTTGTAAGATTATAAGTTGATGTTGAAAATAAAGTTTGTCGATACAATTTAATTGTTTCAGATTGGAGGCCATAACTTCAACAATTTGTAACCTAGGAGAAAAGTTATTGTAAGCTTTTTTGTTTAAAATTTGATGCTTTAACAGAAAAAAATATAATATACAGGGGTTTCCATTTAAAAAAATGTTATTTTACTGAAAAAAATCAAAATAACGACTCTCAATTGTTTTTTTTATTTCTCATTTTTACCAGCGTTAAAAATGCTACTAGTTTGCTAATTCAAACAACTTTGTATTTTCACTAATAACAAAGTTACTAATGGTGGACACTTAATTTGGATAACCCTGTATGTCAATTTCTTTAGTTCTTTTCCGCAAAATTTATTTGAGTTGCGATACTGCTTACTGTTGACCCATGGGCAGCCACTGTTCATTTATCTTGTCGCTTTCCTTGTTATTGCACTCACCTTATTCCCTATATCTAAAGCCCTCAGTACATTCTCGCTCATCCCGTGATGCTCCATAGCGAGGAACATCGTGTTGAGCACGATACAGACCGTGATGGCTAACTCGAACAGAGGGTCTTTCACGATCTGGTACAGGCCCTGCTGAAACTGCAGCCACCCCTCGTAGTCCATGCAGCATTTCTCGCAGCACGAGCAGTTGCGGTCTGGGATCTGATTGTCTGAAATTAATTAAAAATATTTACAAAAAAAGTGATGACCTACCATCATCTTGGTCACTTTACTCCATCCTTAACCCCATTGCAGTAAGCCACGTTCTAATCATACGTTTTATTCTTAGATTTTATCCCTTCAAACGTCAATGGCTTTGTTTATCTGGAGAATCAGCAAGAACCTCTGGATAAAATTTTGTCATATTGCTAAAACACGTTCCTCCATTGTATCTAACCTGAAATTTTCTTGTTTCGGAAACGTTACAATTTTGGCAATATTATGAAATTACTGGGAGCCCGGACTGGCGAATAAGGTGTGTAATCTGTTATTACAAACCCTGATCAAACAGCACGCCACTTGTTAACCTCCTTCGACATTTCTTTTCAACAGCATCCCGCAATATTCAGATTAAGTTTGCATAATAGGCCCCTATATTGCTACACGTCTGTTCTATAACATCACATGATGGACTTTTTTAATATTAAGGCCAGTTGTTACCTTTAAAGGCGAACCACCGTCATGCTTGTTTTCATAATATCATAATATTCTTTCTCACATAAAGTCTCGGCGCCACCGCTTGACTAGATTATAAGAAATTCAACATCTTCTAACGAACAACATCCATGTTTTGCTGATATTTTATTACGACTCTCTGCCCAATGGAATCCATATCTACTAAAATTCACACATTACACATGGAACAAAAAGCACATAACGTCAACGCAGTTCAACATCGACGCAACAATCTTGTACAGTTTAATGCTTCCAAAACACAGTACTGTATTTTGATGAACAAAAAGCGCCCTAGTGCTCATCCGGTTTCGATGGATGGCCGAGTTCAGCCTAAGAGCCATTCATTTCGGCTGGTCGGAGTCCAGATCACCGAGGACCTGTTGTGGCACGAACACATCTCGTCAATAGCGGTAGCTGCTGGGAATGTTCATCAGAAGATGAGGTATCTCCTGAGATCCCGCATTGCACACCAGCAGAGATTCAAGGTCATATTAAAGACCTTAAAGTGCGTAAAGCACCTGGGGAGGATCAAATCACTAATAAGGCGCTGAAGCTGTTTTCGCGGAAGTCCTTAACTTATCTCGTGGCAATAGTCAATGCCATGCTCAGGATCCAGTACTTCCCATCCGCGTGGAAGACCGCTGAAGTTATAATGATTCCAAAGAAGGTGGGTTCGATATTTCCCCAGGATTATCGTCCAATTAGCCTGCTGTCAGCTGCGTCTAAGCTCGCTGAAAAGGTGATTCTACGTCACCTTGAGAATTTCTCGTCAGATCACCATGTGATTCCTGACGTGCAATTCGGTTTTCGGTCTGAACATAGTACGGAGCTACAGGCGGTTAGGCTGGTGGAACGTGTAACCAGAGGATTCACCCTTAACGAAAGTACTGGCATCTTGCTTTTGGATGTCTCAAAAGCATTTGACAAGGTGTGGCACGCGGGTCTCTTGTATAAACTAATCCAAAAGGGCTTCCCTTTTTGGCTTCTAAAACTACTGAAATCCTTCCTTGAAGGTAGGAAATTTCGGATCAAAATTGACAATGTGCTGTCGACAACACGGCTGATTACAGCCGGCGTCCCTCAGGGTTCGGTCCTTGGACCTATCCTTTACTCACTGTACATCCATGACGTCCCTAGTCCCAGCAACTGTGAAGTCTATCTCTATGCTGACGATACTGCATTGGTGGCTCAGTCGTGGTCTGGTGACCTATTCCATGACAGGCTGCAAAGTGCGGTGGAAGAAGTATTAGATTGGGCGGATCGGTGGCTAATTAAAATAAACCATTCGAAAACGCAGGCAATCTACTGTACAAAAAGACGTCGCGGCGTTCCGTCTGAAGTTTCAATGAATGGACTTCGTATACCATGGGAATCCTCCGCTAAGTATCTCGGTGTCATTCTGGACAAAGGGATGACTTGGCGGAACCATATGGAAGCGCTAAAAACTAAATTCCAAATTACGTTTCGGCAGCTTTACCCATTATTATGTAAACGGTCAAAATTAAGTTTGATTAACAAGATTCGACTCTATAAGGTGGTCATAAGACCAGCAATGACATACGCATGTGCGGCTTGGTGTTTTATTGCTAAAACACACATGCGAAGTCTGCAGGTTCTGCAAAGCAGGACGTTGCGCACTATTGCTGATGCCCCATGGTATGTCTCTAACGAAACTCTACATAGAGACCTCGATGTCCCTTACCTAAAGGACTACATTAAGCAACAGGCGCAGCGGCGCTATAGCCTAGCGGAATCGCACAGCAACCCTCTGTTGCGTGATTCAGTGGACTACACAGTCGAGCAAGTTCGCAAGCACAAAAGGCCGCGGCTCGCACTGTAATCAAAATTAACTCGTGAACTTAGAACAACCAAAATTGGAGCATTTTTACACAATCTTTAGAAAAAATCAAATATTTTTAGACCATATCAAAATCTGTGAAGCGATTTTAACAATGCCTAAACGCTGCATATCCTAAAAGATTCTCTTCTTCCCCTTTGCTCTCGTTCTTCCTTCTCTCCTTTCCTTCCCCTTTTTTTCCTTAAAATTGTCTGGTTTCTGGGTTACCAGACCTGACAGACTTACAAACTGACACTGTGACTCAAGAGCTAAGGTCCCACGGACCGCTCTGATAACCAACGATGACTTGATGAGCTGCTGGGAAAAAGCTAGGCTATTTGTTTAGGGCTAAGAAGTGCTTTTCTCCTCATGACTTTCTCACCCTATGCCCAGATAAGGCCTAGCTTCGAGTATTGCTCACACGTTTGGGGTGCTGCCGCCCCGACTACATTATTCGTGTTCGATGCTGTCTAGAGGAGGGCCGTCTGACTCATCGATGACTCTTCTCTAACAGACAGTCTCGGAAACCTTTCGCACCGGTAGACCGTCGGCGATCTAGCTCTTTTCTACCGCTACACAAACGGTCTCTGCTCGTCAGAGCTCTCTTCCATGATGCTACCGCGCGATGTGCCTGCCAGACAGACCCGCCTGACTTTGGCCTCCCATTCTATCCGTGTCGAGCTTAGTACATCCAGATCTGGACGATACGACCGCTCCTTTGTCCCTAGGGTGTCGAGATTGTGGAAGAATCTACAAGAGGAAGCTTTTCCCAGTTCTACTAACTTTAAGCAGTTCAAAAATCGTATTAACAAAATTTCATTGGGATCATCATAGCAGCCGCGGTGTCCCGGCATTTAGACTTCTGCTTGCGCGGCTGCTTCGGTATAAAAAAAATAATTTAACATGTTGTAAACGCAGCGTACTCAGACCACTTGGGGGTGAGGGACGGAGCTTATCCCTCATATCTTAGGGATGCTAATTTCGTTGGCACCGAATTTGGACTAAGTAGGAGGAGCAAACAAAATTACGTTGTCAGCCGCCGACGAAATTCCACGTTGCGAAAACATAGAAAAGTGCTCGTGTCCATGCAATCTTAGTGTTCCAGACAGTTGCCGAAAATCGACAGTCAGTGTAACAATTAATGGATTCGGACTAGGTAGAAGGAGAATGTATTCGATTTGTTCATCGCCAGAATTTTATAGTCATCATTCCGAATTTTAAGATGGCAACACGTAAAACCAGCGTAACAGGACCGCCTGTGGTAGGAATTTCTGCTTCCAAAAAAGAACGTCCAGCCCTCTAAGACGACAAGCGAGCATGGGGTTGACAGTCATTTTTTAATGTACCAAATTCGTCACCCACGTCCATCGTCCCGAAAACGCCAAAACTCCTAAAAAAAAAACGCGAATACCCACCCAGGCCTGTTTGCGTAACACATTATGTTAATTGTTATGCAATCTTCGACTAAACCATGATGTTTTGCCACATTTTAGTCGAGTATTGCATTACAATTGTGTGTTACGACAGTTCTGGGTGGGTTTTTGCGTGTTTTTACGGCTTATGGCATTTTGGGTCGATCGACGAGGGTGAATGCATCTGGAACATTACAAAACGACAGATATCATAATATTCTTTCTCACAAAATCTCGGCGATACTTTTGACTACATCATAAGAAATTGTACACCTCCTCATAACAGTCATAATGCTTTGAATGACTAACATCCCTTTTTTGATGATATTTTATTACGGCTCTCTGCCCAATGGAAACCATTCATCTAAAAAGCACATAACATCAAAGCAGTTTAACATAATCATTTAACATATTGTAAACGTAGCCTGTTCATACCACTTGGGGGTGAGAGGCGGAGCGGGATGCTAATTTGGTTGGCAACGAATTAGGACTAAGTAGAAGGAGAAAACAAATTATTTGCTTGTCGCCATAATTACGTTGTCAGCCGCCAGTTTGGGGGCCTCGGTTGGCCGCGTTGGTCAGAGTGTCGTGCTACTGACCAGCCGGCCGGCCGGGCCGCGAGTTCGAATCTCGCCTTCGCCATGGATGTTGTGACGTCGTGTGTTTGTCCATAATTAGAGAAATATAAGTAACACACATCTGTGGCAAATGGATAACTTCCAATGCCAAACCAAAAAAAAAAAGCCGCCAGTTTGGCAGTTGACGAAACTTCACATTAAATTCAGACTTCGCTGCGAAAACATACAAAAGTGCTTGTGTAATCTTAGTGTTCCAGACAGTTGCCGAAAATCGACGGTCAGTGTGACAATCAAAGGATTCGGACTAGGTAGAAGGAGAATGTATTCGATTTTATCGTCGCAAGTATTTTATAGTCAGTAGTCAGGATGCAAGTTCATACTGCAAGTCGATTAGGCCATGGCCGTGTGATATTTGTCAACATTTTTCAACAAAGACATACAAGTGCATGGGATCCATACAATTCTAGTGTTGCAAATAGCTGCATAAACAGGATAAGAGCAAATCTTTGTATCGCCAATACTTACACTTTAGTCGTTAGCGTTGCCAAAGGGCATGTACGTCAACGTTGGGCTTTTACCTTGACAGTTTCATTGGGAACTCAGTCCCAATCTAAGGTTCGT